GCGCGCATTCGATTCAAGAAATTGCACGTGTTTCACGGATTCTCATGGTTTTCATTCCAGAAGCGGTGTCTTGGAACGTTTCAGGGGTGTTAAGGTGGACCAGATACGTGAATCCGCGGTGTTGAAGTCCCAGGGATGGCGTTCTGGCACGGCTCAGGATCGTCAAGACGCAACAGTCAGGTTCGTTCGTGGTGTTGAAATCCTGAGACTGGTGTTTTGACACGCGTCAAGATTTTCGGCACGGTTGTCCCACAACGGCGCACTTCCCTCACTGGAAGTGCACCCGTGTAGGGGCCTGAGAGGGAGCTTGGAGGGAGGGTGTATTCCAGCATCGTTGATGAGCTCTGGGTTTGCACTGGTCCTCCTCCTCCTCCTCCTCCTCCTCCTCCTCCTCCTCCTCCTCCTCCTCCTCTCGCTCCTCCTCCTGAGGAGCGTTGTGGCCTTGCACGTTCCCCCCTGGCCTGGGTCCGGGGCCGGCGCCCCCCGCAGGCCGTGTGTGTGTGTGTGTGTGGTGGGACGGCCGGCAGCTGGAGACATGGATACGGTCGGACCGAGGCACACAGGAAGGAGAAAGGAAGGGGGGGAGGGAGGGAGGAGAGGAGGGAGGGAGGGAGGAGGGGGAAGGGAGGAGGAGGGAGGGAGGGAGGGGGGAGGGAGGAGGGGGAAGGGGGGGGGGGGGGAGGGAGGGACGGAGGGAGGAGGGGGAAGCAGCAGACGACAGACGACAGGGGGAGGAGAGGAGGAGGAGGCGAGCGGGGAGGGCCAGGCCCCAGGGAGGCGGATCGGGGTCGGCTCGGGGAGGAGGCCCGGATGCTCTTCGGCCTCGTCGGCGCCTCTCGCTGGCATCCTGGGGGAGGGTACCCCTTGGGCGTGCCGTGTGCTCTGCCTGCGGAGGGTCTCGGGCTCTCGAGGGCTGTTCCTCTGCCCTAGGGCTGCTCTTCCGCCGGTGGGGTGCAGCGCCGGCCCGAGGGACCCGCGCGGGCCTCCGAGCACTCGAGCGACCGTTCCTGCTCGGGCAGCTCGTCCTTCCCCCGCGCGGCTCAGGGCGCCTGTGCGGCGAGGGGCGTTACGCCGTGGTGGCCACGAAGCACTACCCGCGCGCCCACGACCGCGACCTTGCCGCGGCCGTGGCGCGGACGGCGCGCGAGGCGCGCGGCCTGGGCGGCACCGATGGCAGGCCCACGAGGGCGTCGACGACGACGCGGATCGCGGGAGGCCGGGTCGAGACCACTGCGGGCCTCCCCGGCGTCCTTCGTCCTCCCTGGGCCTCCTGGAGGCTTCTCGTCACCGCGGGGGAAAAAAAGCAGATAGAAAACGGCAGGCTCCGCCTCGACGTGCGAGTCGGAAGGGGGAGGGCCTCAGGAGGGGGGTAGGCGGGAGAGCCGCTGTTCGCTCAGTTGCTCCTCCTCTGGGAGGAGGACGGCCACGATGGCGACGAGGATGGGGGCGGCGAGGAGGACAAGATCATGCGAGGACGGGGTCGAGGACGACGACAGCGACGACGAGGACGCGGGCGACAAGGGGGACGAAGGGCGCCGAGGACCGGCGAAGACGGCGGCGGGGACGCCGACGGCGACGGCAACGAGGACGGAGGGCGACGGGCGACGGCCAGTGGCAGCGAGGCCGACGGGCCTAGGCTCCCCATGAGGCCCTCGGGCTCGGATCGCGGTGGCCTCCGCCTCGCCTCCGGCTCTCGGAGGACAAGCGCGAGCGGGCAGCCCGGCGACCCTCCCCTCTATAGATCCCGTCGCCCTCGCCGCCATCGCCGTCGGCGTCTAGCCCGCCATCGTCGTCGCCGCCGTCGGCGGCATCCTCGGGGTCGTCATCGGCGTCGTCGTCGTCGTCGCCGTCTCGCCTACCATCGTTGCGGCTGCCGTCGTGAGCGTACTCATGGTCGACGTCGTCGGCGTCCTCGTCGCCGCCGTCCTCGTGTCGTCGTTCTCGTCGCCGCCGTCATCGTCGTCGCCGCCGCCGCCGTCGTCTTTGGCGTCAGCGGCATGGTCGGCGCCGAGGACGATCAGGAGAACGAGAACCACGAGGATGGGAGTGAAGACGACGAGAACGAGGACGATTAGAAGCACGTGGACGACGGGAACGAGGACAGCGACAATGGCAATGTTGAGGAGGAGGAGGACGAGGAGGAGGACGGAGGACGGAGGACGGAGGACGGAGAACGGAGGACGGAGGACGGAGGACGGAGGATGGAGGACGACGACGGCGGCGTCGAGGGCGACGACGACAACGACAACGAAGGGCTGGACTTTGGCGGCAGTGGCGGCGAGCCAGTGTCCCAAGACCCTAGGAGGCAGTGGACAATGGTACCTCTGGGCCCAGCCCGGGGCCCGAGAGTCTTCATGTCCATTGCCTCCTGTGGTGGCGGTATCGTCAAATCTGGGGGGTGCCCTGCGACGTCCTGTGTGTGCGCCAGTGCCTCGCTGTCAGGTTCGACAGCCTTCACACGCGCCATGGCACGCAGCACCAAAGCAATCGATCCCACGCCGGTCCGGGAAGAGAGCGTGGAGGATGGCCATGGCGACCGTGGCCCCGGGTGGTGGGTGCGTAGGAGCTCCGATCTCGGACGAGGGGCGGAGGAGGAGGAGGAGGAGGAGGAGGAGGAGGAGGAGGAGGAGGAGGAGGAGGAGGAGGAGGGGGAGGGGGAGGAGGAGGAGGAGGACGAGGCCAGGAAAAGATCGGCTGGCCGGACTCGGCCCTCTGAACCCGGCCAGGCCGAGCTCGGCCAGCTTGAGGAGGCCGAGCTCGGCCCTCGGCACTCCGCAGGCGCTCCTCTCGGCACAGCGCGAGCATCGGACGAGGCCGGCTGGAGAAGGCTCGGCCAGAGAAGCTCGGTCTGGAGAATGTCGGCCAGAGAAATTCGGCCCTGGAAATTCAGATTCGGCCAGAGGAGCTGGGAAGCTCGGCCCAGGAAGAAGTCGGGTGGAGAAGCTCGGCCACTCTGAGCACCTCGGGCAGAACCCTCCGGCACATCCATCCAGCACAATGCCGTAGCAGGACCCCCCAGCACAAGCCCCCAGCACCACCACCCGGCGCAGCCCGCCACAGCACAATCCCTAGCACAACCCGCCATCACAACCTCCAGTTCACGTCCCACTCACCACATCTGCTCACCATCCCCCAGCACAGACCTCCAGCAGAGCCCGTCCAAATCAACACCTCCAGCACACCTCTCACGGCAACCCTCCAGCACAATTCCCAGCACAACCCCCAGCACGACCCTTCAGCACAACGCTCCAGCACAACTCTCACGACAACTCCCCGGCACACTCCCCTAGCACAATCTCCCAGCAAAACCCCTCAGCACAACCCTACCAGCGCACCCGCCAGCACAAACAACCTCAGCACAATCCCACAGCACAACCCCCCAGCACAACCTCCCAGCACAACCCCCCCAGCACAACCCGGTCCCCGCACAATCCCCGGGCACAACCCCGTTACACAACCTCTCATCACAAATCCCCATCACATCCCCCCAGCACAACCCCCCAGCACAACCACCCAGGGGAACTTCCCAGCACAACCCCTCAGCGCACCTCCCCGGCACGTTCCTCCAGCAAAACATAGCAAAACCCCGAGCACAATCCCCACAGCACAAACTCCCCAGCGCACCACTGCCAGCACAACCTTTGCCAGCGCAGCACAACTCCCCCAGCACAGCCCCCCCAGCACCCTTCCCCGCACAACCCCCCAGCACAGCCCCGCAGCACAACCTGTCAGCACAAATTTCCAGCACATCCCCCCCTGGCACAACCCTCCAGCACAACCATCCAGGGAAACCTCCAAGCACAACTCCCCAGCACAGCTCCCCAGCACAACCCATGGGCGCACCTCCCCAGCACTGCCCCTCAGCACAATCCCCCCAGCACAGTTCCCCCAGCACAACCCCTCAGCACAGCCCCCCAGCACAACCCCCCAGCACAGCCCCCCAGCACAACCAACCAGCACAATCCCCCAGCACCCCCCCCAGCACAACCCCCCAGCACAACCTCTCAGCACAACCCCTCAGCACAACGTTCCAGCACAACCTCCCCCATCACAACCCTCCAGCAAAATCCCCCAGCACTAGCCACCAGCACAACCCCAGCACAACCCCCGCACAACCCTCCCGCACAACCCCTCAGCACAATCAGCACAATCCCCCCAGCACAGCCCCCCAGCACAACCCCCAGCACAACTTCCCCAGCACAACTCTCAGCACAACCCCTCGAGCACAACCCCTCAGCAAATTCCTCCTTCCGGCAGAACCCCCCAGCACAATCCCAGCACAAGACCCGCAGCACACCCCCATCACAATCCTCCCACGCAACCCCTTTAGCACAACCCCTCAGCAGAAATGCCGAAGCACAACCACCCAGCACAACCCCCCCCAGCTGAACCCCCTGGCACAATTCCTAGCACAACCCCCCCAGCACAACCCCCCAGCACAACCATGCACAACCCCACCAGCACAATCCCCCCAGCACAAGCCCACAGCACAACCTCTCAGCACAACCCTCCAGCACAGCCCCCCAGCATAATTAACACCCAGCACAGCCCCCCAGCACAACCACCCAGGGACAACTCGCCAGCACAAGCCCCCAGCACAACCCCCCATCGCAATCCACCCAGCACAACCCTCCAGCACTGCACGTTGCCGCTCGTTGCCGCGTCACCGTATAGCTCACAGCACATAGCATGCACCACATAGTTTGCGCCACATAGTTTTCACCACATAGCTTGCACATCCACAGTGCAATCAGTAACTGTTCAGGGTCCACGCCCTCTAACATGTGTATGTATAAGTATTTGCACGCATTCCTAGAGGTAATGTTATATGCTGCCCTCTTCCTGCCTCTAAATCCCGATTCTTGTATATACATACATATTTATAAGGCCAGGAGAGACCCCGGAAAAAAGCGCCCCCCTTTTTTACGAATCTGACCCACCCCGGGCCTCTCGGGAGCACCCCACGAAAGCCCGAAGATGGCCCCAGAGGCTCTCCAAGGAGGAGTCTCCGCAAAAGGAGCTGAGGAGGATGGGGGAGAATACGCAGGGTAGCGCGAGAAGGAGGAAATATTTACATGGAGGAAGGATAACGAAACACACATTATTGTAACGGCGATGCCGGAAAAGGCAACAAGGAGTTATCGCTAAATTGTCGGTTTGAAGTTCCTGCCATTCCGATTGCATACCAAACTTCAAGGACCAAGGTGCACGGCGCGAAGCGCCAATGCAGTCTTGTGCGTGTGTGTATATATATACACATACATGTACACATCGATTCCCATTTTTCATTACCGGGGACCCTCCCCCCGGAAATCGGACCCTTCGAATCCTGGGCCTGCAGGAGGCCCCCCCAAGCGTTTCAGTGCTCCTGGAAGTCCTTGCTGGGACTAGGCAACGGGCCCAAATCGGTCAGAAGGGCGGCCGAACGCCCCTCCGAGGGCCCCAAGAGGCCCCAGACCCCACCAGACGCCCGAAAACGACCCAAAGAAGACCCCCAAGAGGTCAGTCCTGCTCTCGTTCATCTCTTCTCTTCCGTCTCTCATACTACTTTGGTCACAGGGAGGATGATCAAATCGACGTTGATTGGGGATTATGGGAATCTGATTGTATACAATCTACATCTCCCGAATACTTCTGATGCATTCCCTATTTTTGCTGGAGTGTTCGGCGTGCTGCAACGCGATGTTCTGTTATACCAAGGGGAGGACGCTATCGTAGGCGCGCACATCCTGCTCATGGGGGACTGGAATTTTGTCTTAGAGGAGGAGGGGAGGCTCAACGGGGACGGGAGTGGTATCTCTGCCGGCGACGCGGGGCGCTCGCGGTACTTTCGCCGTCTTCTTCCTCGCTTCACTGAACTGTTTCAGCCCGCCGACACCCGCAGGGGAAGAAGGGGTCCGCCGTCGCTTCGACCTCGCGGTTAGATCGGATCTACACCTCCCTTCCTGCTGCCCTTATCCGTGACCTCACCATCTCCACCACTGTCGTTGGGAAGCTGAAAGCGGTGATGAGCAGCGACCACCTGCCCGTTCGTTCTACTATCACAAGGTACTCTCCCGACCCCAGGAGTCCCTGCATCCCTGCATGGCTTGCCGAGACCCCTGAGTTCGGACAGGCCCTTGAGGAGGTGATTGCTACCATCCCCGCC